TTGTGAGATAGTCGAGGTCTCCTCAGGCTGCAGTTCCCAGGAACGAACCCCACCACCCCCACCACCCTGCTTGCCCCGGGCGGCACAGAAGGTGGGGAAGGCTGACTGGGCTTTTGGCCTCCCCTCTGCCAGGGGCGTGAAGGGGGGGGCACAAGCACAGCCTGCCATGGTAGCTGGTTCCAGGAGGGACAGAAAGGGAAACAGGGGGTGGAATTTCTCTCTGTGAGACTCACCTGGGTCTTTTGGTTCCTAAGGAATCTGCTGGGAAGGAATGTCTGCTCCAGCAGGATCCCTCTTACACCCATCATCAATCAGCCCCTCCGTCTGCCTCCTCCAGCGGCTGCTTTGCGTGGCGTTCCGGCTAGTTCAATGGCTCGCTCTCCCGGGGTTCTCACTGCATGGAAGGGAATGGGCAGCAGTCCCAGACATGTTTTGGAGCTCAGCTTCCAGAAAGGACAGCCAAATATTGGGAGGGGGCCCCCACCACCACCACTTTATTCAAAGGAAGGGCCTCTCCTGGAGCTGCTCCGACCTGCCAGCCCTTCTCTGAGAGGCGATTCCTCGATGGGAGTCCAAGGTGGCACCTTTGGGCTTTGGGTGACCGTTCCCCCGCCCCGTCCTGATAGGTTCCCCTCGCTTGCTTGCTTGCTTGCTTCATGTGCCACCCTCCCCCCCCCAGGGAACCCACAATGGCTCACAACAATTAAAACTGCACAGCAAGTTAAAACACTGTACATAACCCTACATTTAAAAACAAACGGATCAAGATAACAAACATTAAAAAGAATATTTAAAAAGATCTAAATCTCAAAAATAAAGCATTCCTTCAATATCTGTGGCCTAAAAGCCTGCCTGAAGCACTGAAGGACCGGGGGGGGGCTTCCACTCCCTGCGCATGGTCGAGAGCCCCACTCAGGGTTCAGTCCAGGGTGCCCCCCCCTTTGGTGGGTTCCACTGTCAGCTTCCCCGGCCACTAGATGGCCTGGGTAGGTGGAAAGGGTGGTTTCTTTCCCACGGATCTGGCCCAGGGGAGGGGAGTTGGAGCCCCCTGTTGCCACGACACCTTTCCTCCCTCAGAGGCCTTCCTTGTTTTGTTCTCCACCTTAAGACCACCCTCAACATTTTGGTCAGGGAGTGGGGATCATGTGTCCCCCGTACTCTGGAACGCTGGGGGGGGCTGGAATGGCCAGTCACAGGCCCCTTTGTGGGACGGGAGGCCCCTTTTGTGTGTGGGTGGGTGGGTGGTTTCCAGATCACGTGGCACAAGGCCCTGTTTGACACACCGAGTGGCATCGCTGCTGAAGTGCTCCTTCTTGTGGGCCGGATGCCCCTGAAGGGGCCCACCTCATCATCCACACCCACATCATCCCCCCCCAAGGCTACTTCTGCCACCCTTAGCCCCCTCCCCAAAATCAGGACCACCAGGATCCACCAGCAAAATGCCTTTCAAGCAAGGCAGGGACAAGGTAGTGCCCTTCTCCCCTCTCCTTCCCCCCCATCACTGTGGGGCCCTCCAAAACACTTGCAGGCCTTTTCCCACCCAGTCCTTCTCTGGACACCTGGAAGCATTTCAGCCTGAAAGAGAAACTCCCCAAGCACAGTCCAGGGACAAGTCGCCGATGGACTGCCCCGGTTGAGACAAGAAAAATGAAAAGGGAATCCCAAGGCCCCCCTGCTTAGGGGGATGAGGGTGGAGGCAGGAATGGGGGAGGGGAGGCCCATTGGGGTGGGGGTCTGAGTTCCTAATGTTTCAGAGATGCGGGGGTGGGGGTGGGGGGGCCCATCTAGGCTGGCAGCACCCGACCAAGGAAGGGACCCTGAGGGTGTTGAGCGCTGCTCCAGCGGCCACCCAGTCAAGGCTGCTGGGAGGAGGAAAGCAGAATCCATAAGGGGTTAGGGTTGCACCCACATGTACACACACACACACACACACACAGAGAGAGAGAGAGAGAGAGAGAGAGAGGGATACGAACCCCACATGACTGCCGTGCAACTTCAAACTGATTTCAACAAATCTGCTGCAGATTCCAATTGATTTCACGAATGTAACCACACTCTAGCAAAGCACAAAAACGTGAGGTGGCTTTCAAGCCCTTCCCCATCCCTTCCTCAGGGAAAGATGTTGCTAAGAGCAGGAGTGGGGAGGGAACAGCGCAGAAGGTGGTTGGAGGGAAGGGCTGGGCGTTAACATCCTCATCGCTTCTGCACGTTTCGTGAGAAGTTGTGGGAAGGATGAAACAGGGCCGATGAGCCACCAGTTCTCACCTGGACACCTGGGCGTCTCATTTTCCTGGTGTCGTCCCAACGCTTGGCTCTTGTACATGTTTGCCACATTCCCAAGACTGGGTTTTGCCCAGACTGTAGACCTGCCTTCTAGGGCATCTTGTCTGCTGGCCTGAATCTAAGCCTTCCTTCCTTTTCAAAAGGAAGTCCCTGGCCCTGAGAGAAGCAGCGACAGAAGGCAAACGGGCTGCCGCTGTTTGAACCAGCCATTTGGTGTGAAGATACAGCCCTTTCCGTGGGATCAGACAAAGAGTGAAACCGCCTCACCCGCCACCCTTTTAAGCTGGTACTCACAGCGATGTAAAGGGAAGACTGGTGGGCTGCTGTTCCCATCAGTGGGCAGGCTTGGCCCTTGAATGCTGACGGGCAACCGAGGATGCTGCAGTCCGCAGAGCAGAAGTCCCCCCAGCCTTGACGTGGTGCACTTTCCTCCTGCATTTCCTCCTTTGGCCTTGGGACTGGGCTCAGGGAATTCCAGAAAGATCGGCTCCTTTCTGGCTTGCACAGGGTTCTGGGAGCATTGTTAGGGATTTCGGTCGGTGCTGCTCTGAGGGAAAGAAAAGTGAGCTTTGGAGATATCTTGGCTCTCCAGGGTATCCGCCAAGCTCTCCTCCAGCACCACGTTTCAAATGAATCAATCGGCTTTTTTTTTCCTGCTGGCTTCTTCACCATCCAGCTTTCTCATCTGTTCACTGACATACATCAGCGATTCTTTGTGGCTCAGCAAATGTGCACAGGAAATGGATTAGGAAGCAGAGACTGGCAAAGTTACTTCTTTGGGCCACAACTCCCGGAATCCCCCAGCCAGTGGTTTCTGAAATGAGCTCTGCTCTGTCTCTCATCCTCTGCTACTACACTGTGGCTCATAGTAATGGAGCAAAAGAGCCACGCACAGGAGCTCGTTTTAGGAAGGAGACACCACCTCCAGTAAGGCCCTGCGCTTGTGTATGCGCATGCCTGTGACTCTGTACCCATCTACGGGTATGCATCTGGAAGGGTTCTAGGACTAATTGCTAGTATTTATTACCTGTCTCTAACACATTAATCAATCAGCCAGAGATGGAGAGATCCAATAAATATTTGTTTATATTCAGCTGAAAATAGGCGCAAACTTCACATGCATAATACAAAATATACATTTTTATAAGGTATAACATGAAAGAAGGACCACGGAAGTTTGGAGGAGGCAGAGAAATGGGAGGGGTTCCGATCAGTGGCACACATTTCTGCATGTGGGCTGTAATTCAGTTCTCCTTGCCAGGTACTCTCCTTCCCAAGGACAGACTTCTCATTTAGAAATACCTTAATTGTAAATTGGAAGAAACTCTGATGGAGACCCCCTCCAACTCCCTTGTTCATTCTTGCCTGCCTAAGCAAAACATATAGCAAAGCAAGTTATAGAAAGCAAAATGGCTACAGCTAGGGTAAGATATATTTTTTATGTATTAACTGGACCCCTTCACTACCACCATGAATTTGACCAAACTCCGGGAGGCAGTGGAAGACAGGAGGGCCTGGCGTGCTCTGGTCCGTGGGGTCACGAGAAGAGTCAGACACAACAAAGCAACAAGAAGATACTGCCAAATGTAGAAAAGAAAGCTAAGTTAGGATGCTTTCCGGTTATAAGAATTTTTTTCTGCCTGTATTTCTGAAGGAAGTGGCATTTTTTGCGTCTCCCTCACTTCCGCCCCCCCCTTTTCTCCACATTCTTCCTGCCACAAGGACTGCAGTGGGGCGCTTGGAACTGGTGGTGGCGGCGGGGGGTCCCGGGGCCCCCATCCTCCCTGCCTGCCTGCCTGCTGCTCCTGCTGCAGGAGGAAAGGCAGGCCAATTCTCATCTCGGTTTTGAAACGGCGAACACTTTCCCCAAAGGGAAAGCGACCTGTCTCTGGAGAAATACAGACGTTTCACTTCAGGCCCGGCCAGGGCGGCAGGATGCAGGCTGCCTTTGCGGGGAGGGCTTCATCGGCTCCGCTTCTGCTTTCGGTCACACCGTCTTTTCCACAGGAAGGAGGGGAGTCCCTCCCAAAGCTCCGCCAGTCATGCCCCTTTTCTTCCCACGACCAGCGGGGTCTGGTGTGTCTGGTCTGAGTGGGTGCTCCCGAAACTACGATGTCCCAGGAGGGGGTGACCTACGCCGACCTGCGGTTCGTGAGGAGCCCTCTGGAAAAGAAGAGCCCGCCGAGAGGTAGGGATCCGACCCGCGCCCGGCGCCCCCCACCAGCGACCCCCTCTTCTCCCCCTGACTTCTGACTCGCCTGCTCCTCCCGCAGAGCCCGGCGGCGGCGGCGGCGAGGGCGACGGGGAGCTGACCTACGAGAACGTCGAGGGCCCCCAACTCCGCCGAGGAGAGGAGCGGTTGGAGGAGGAGGAGGCGGCGGCGAGGAGGAGCAGCAGCTCCGGGCGGGCGCCGAGTGAGTAACCTCGGGGGATGTCTCTCCTCCGCCCCGGCGAGGGCCGCCTCTCCTCTTCCGTAGCCCTGCGGGATAACTCCGGGGTTTAGGCACCACCAACTTCTGTGCTGTGGCGCGCTCTCC